TAAAAAAAATCCAAAAAAATCAAAGTTTTTAAAATTTAATTCTCTATAAATTGAGCACAGTAATGAAAATTTGAAAAAAAAATATTTTATTAATTTTTATAATTATAAAAAACCCAGAAAAAAAATCTCCAAAAATTATGAAAATTTAAAGAATACTTCTACTCACTATTCTAATGACTTTGTAAAAAATAATTTTAAAAATATGGTGATTAAGATACCAAACTTGATTTTAAAAGATTAAAAGTTTTTAAAAAAATATTGAACATAATATGATGCAAATAGAGATGATTCAAAATATTTATAACTCAAAAATACTATTATTCAATATGTTTATGATCCTTAACTTTTTCTGATCTAAATTATTTTGATTCAAATATTTAGTGATCCTTAATTATTATATTTTTTATGATTCAAAATTAAATGATTCAAAAATATAATGATCCAAATGTTGTATTATACAAAAACTTCATTTAATTCAATATATTATGATCCAAATTAATATGATACAAAAATGTATGATGCATAATATCGTTATGATTCAAAATATTATGATTTAAAATTTTATGATCCAAAAATAATATGATTAAAAAAAAGTATGAATGGAAAATATTATGATCGTTAATATTTTTCTTATTTAAAATTTTGTAATTGTTAAACATTAAAAAACTCAAACAGATATTTAGCTTAAAAAATCAAAAAAATAAGAAATAAATCAAAAAATAAAAACAAAAAAACCTTACTATCTTCAATTATGTAGTAAAGATATTAAAAAAACGACAAAATTGCAAAAATGGTCCCCGTGGTTTGCCAATTTCTTTGGATAAGGTCCAAAAAAAAGTTTATTAGCAAAAAAGGTCCTTATATGGTGGTTTAGTTGTGGTTTTGGTCCCTATTTCGTTAACTTTAACATTTGGCTGTTAACTTTTTTAAAATGACAATTTTACCCTTAGGGACTATTTTTGCAGTTAACTCTTTTTACCAAATTACAAGGACCATTTCTACAATTCTTCTTTTTAAATTTATTGAATTATTATATATTAATTCTTCTTTCTTTTTAATTTTATTGAACTATTATACATTAATTCTTTTTTGAATTTTTTATTGGATTAATTTTTTTATCTGATTATTACATAGCAGTTAATTATATTTTTAATATATAATATTTATATATTAATAACTATTATATTAGTATATTATTAATATCTTTTAACTATTTTTTTAAATTTTTTTATTGGATTATTTTATTTTAAAAAAAAAATTAGGTTTTTTTATTGGATTATTACATTTAATTTATTATATGCTATATATAATAAATAATATTTTAGTGGATCATTAATTTTTTTTAACTATATACTATTAATTCTTTTTAATTTATTGGTTCTACCAAAAGTCTTCGGAATACGCAAAAACACCGCATCCCGTTGTCGAAAATCATCGGGACCACCGCTAATCACCTTCATTGGAGGTCCGATGGAAACACTACCAACATGTTTCACCCAACGTCGCTATCCAGTAGCCACTTGCGAAAACCTCTTCAGAATTCGTCAGAATCCTTTATATTTTCCACTAAGCCCAGCATACGCTCCAGTTACACCATTCTCACTCATTTGGTCTTAACTAGTTAATACCTTGGCTCATATTACAGATCTGGACTCCCTAATAGCTCTTAACCTATAAAGTCAGTGACTTTAAGCCTTTGCATGGCTGAAATGGTCACAAACACACAAAATACTCACTCTTTTATCTCAAGAAGCTCATAACTCATGCATGGCTTGATTCCAACGACCAAGATTGGATTTTTATGACATTACACCACTAATACACTCAAAGAGGGATGGTCCTAGTCTCTGGAGCTCAAGATCTCATAAAGTCTCCACCTTTTTGGGACAAAACCCTAAAATACTCTACTAAGATGCACATAAAAAAAGAGTGGGAAAGTTTGAAGCTTTATACCTCTATATGAAGCTCCCAACTCTGATGTGCTCAGATCCAAGAGCCTGGACTCCCACTCCTTCTTCTCCAAAGCTTTCTCTTCTCTTCAAGAACACACAAGAACTCTCAAGGGCTCTCAAATGCACTCACAAGCTCTAAAACGAGGGTTAGGGCACACTTAGGGTTTGTTGTCTGAGAAAGGTGGCCAGAAATGAGGCCATCATATCCTTTATATAGGGGACTCACCCTAAATTAGGGTTTTCACTTTGGGCCTAGTACGCCCAGTGTACCCTCTGGTACGCCCAGCGTACTAGGTGGCTTCCACGTCAATTGCACGCATATGAGTACGCTGAGCGTACACTCACGTACGCCCCGCGTACTCATTCACCACCTTATCCCATAAAGGGACTAAAAGGGACAATCACTCAAAGACCAAGGGTTACGAGGTATACCTGAACTCGGGATGTTACAGTAACAGATAACGTCCGACTTAACACATTATTGGTTGCCATTAAGTCGGTTGTTTTTCTGTTACATTCAATATTGTGTTAAGGAGGTCCGATCCAAACACCCCTGGTCAGTTCCTCCATCGTTGCTTTCTACTACCTTGCGTTGCCACATTATCTTGTCAGAAATCGTCGATCGTTGCCTACAATCCGTAATTCTCAACCAAAACTACACCAATTGACTACCCACACTGTCGTCAATTGCGACAATGTTAGATATTGGGTTTTTCAAACCACCAGATCCACCGCTAAATCTTTTCAGGTAGTGCAGGCTTGAAGCTTTGATGTTATAAGGTTGTGCATCGGTTTGTGGAAGGCAACGAATGGAGGAACTGACCAGGTAGTATGATTTTGTGGCGTAAGCTGGTAAAATGCAACAAATGGAGGAACTGACAGGGGTGTTTGGGCTGGACTTCTTGGTGGTTCAAATAGTGATGGTTTTAGTGGAAAACGATCGGCTTAGTGGCAAATATAAAGGATTATGACGGATTGTGAAGAGGTTGTCGCATGTGGCTACTGGATAGTGGCATTAGGTGAAACAGGTTGGTAGTGTTTCCGTCGGACCTCCGATGAAGGTGATTAGTGGTGGTCCTGACGATTTTTGACAATGGGATGCGGTGCTTTTGCGTATTCCGAAGACTTTGTGGTAGAACCAATAAATTAAAAAGAATTAAT